TTCTGTGAGTTCTCCCACCCCCTGACCTCTAAGCCTTCAACACCCATCCCCAGAGGCAACTACTGTTACCAGAAATACTCCAAGGGACAGAAGACTCAAGGGGAAATCGGATCTTGTGAAGAGCCTGCTGGGACGTGCTGCCCCGTCTTCTATCCCACAGCCTCGCCTGGGCTCACCCTTGGCTGAGGACATTCCCAGGCCGCCTCTGTGCTGAGGAGAATGGGGGCAGGGGAGGGTCTGTGAGGTTCCACAGTGACCCAGGTGCAGACTCCTAGCCCAGTGCTCCTGCCGCTCAGGAAGGTGGTGTCAATTCCTGGCGTCGTGGGAGAGCCACTTCCTCGCCCCCTCTGCTGCTCCTCTTCCCATCTTTCCTGGGGCCTGGAAGGGGTCGGGCCTGTCAGACCTGGAGGTCTCCAATTTTCTTTCACAAAATGCTCTCTGGAAGATCCAGGGGTAGAGGTGATGGGTTAGCTGGGTCCTGCTGGCCACTGGGCTCAGGGTGAGGTGCAGACATCAGAGGTCAGCGGAGTCATGGGGAGCAGCTGTCCCTGAGACCTCTGAGGGGCCCCTTGGCCTGGGCAGCTGCAGGGCTCTCAGCTCTCAGAAGGGCATGGGGTGGGTAGGAGCCTGGGGCCCAGAGGCTGAGGAGGAGGGGGCCGGATCTGAGTGAGGAATCTGGAGCCTGACCCTGTGTGATCTGAGGGCAGGCCAGCCCCGAGGCCCCTGGGGCTCAGAACTTCCAGAACTGACCCCAGCAGGAGCAGAACTAGGCCTGGCTATTCAGGGACAGCAAACCCAGGATGAAAGAGGGCAGGGGTGACGGGGGCTCACATGCTGGGTGTTGCTGACCCATTCCCATGCAGGGATGGCTGCCTCAGCCCTGTGTGACCTGCAAGGCCAGGGTGTCAGCTCTGTCTTCCCAGCTGGAAAGCCCAGGGTCCCACTCTCTAAGTATATATCCAAGAGGGTTGAAAACAGATGTCAAAACAAAAATGAATGTGTACATGAATATTCATAACAGCCCCAAATTGGAAACAACCCAAGTGTCCATCAACTGATGATGAATGAACAAACAAAAAGTCCTATCTGTCCATACAGTGGAGTGTCACTCAGCCATGGAAAGAAATGAAGTTCTGATAGATTATGACAAGGATGAACCTTGAAGATATTATGCTGAGTGAAAGAAGCCAGTCATAAAAGACCACAGATTGCATAATTCCACTTCAAATGAAACTTCTAGAACAGGCAACATAGAGACAGAAAGCAGATGAGTGGTTGCCAGGGGCTGGGAGGAGGTAGGAACTGGGAGTGACAGCTAACAGACAGGAAGTTTCTTTTTGAGGTGATGAAAACATTTTGGAAATTAGTGGTGATGTTTGAGTAATGTTGTGAATATGCTAAAAGTCTCTGGATTGTACATTTTAAAAATGTGAATTTTATGGTATGAGAATTCTCTCTCAAAAATAATTGTTTAAATGTTAAAAAATGTATATATCTGAAGCACCCTGTCAGTCCAGGCCCTTCAGGCCTGTTGGAAAGCCACAATCAGAGAGAGAGGCCAAAGAAGGCGTACCTGGGGACTGGCTGGCAAGTCATTCGACCGAGAGGCCAGGATCAGGGGAAAGGAAACTGGTACCAAAGAAAAAGAAAAAATCAGCCCAGTGGCTACTCCAGCACCAGGGGAAGCAGCAGGGCCGGGCTGGTGACCCCAGAGGGAGGTCAAGGGAACGGAACCACCAAGCCTGAGGTGGGTGCAGAAAGACTGGTTGGGCAGGGCAGCCCTGGCCCTGCCCCTGTGCCCCCTCATCCCCCAATCACAGCTGGGCTTTTGGCATCCACTTGGGTTCCCACGCATGGGAGCTCATAGCAAAAGAGGGGTCTTTTGTTCCCCTCAGCTCTCTCCTGTGACCCTCCCAGGGACAAGGCCTGAGTTCTAAAGGGCAACCATACAAGGGGTCAAGTGAGGGGCCGGAGAGCCAGGAACAGGCAGCCACTCTGCCAGGGCCGGGGTCAGGGGTGGAAGGCAAACCTCGGGCAAGAGTGCAGGGACTTTGCTTCCCTCCAAACGCTCTGCCTCCCTCTTGGGGTTTGTGTCTCAAGGGCATAGAGTGTGACCACGACTGTGAATTCCTTTGATGACCCTTCTAGACATAGTTTTTGGGACTCCCCTACAATGATTGGGTGGGACTGTGCAAGTCCCACCTTGTGGCCACCAAGGGGATTGGACAGCTCGCTGCTAATGCAAATAAGGGATATGGAACTTGTGATGGTTATATGTCAACTTGGCTGGGGCATGATTTTCAATGGTTTGGGCAATTATTAATTACGTAATTTGGCGGTTCGGCAATGATATAGTCATCCTCCATTTTGTGGTCTGACATCATTGTCCTCCATCTGTGGCCTGCCTCTAAGCCTGTGGTTACGGTCCCATTTGGGAGTGAGTTGTCCGTTATGTTACTGAGGCAGGAGTAGGGTGGGGTGTATCTTGAGTCACCATTTTACCATTCTTATCCCAGTCACCATCCATATAACCACCTTGCTCAAGTAAACGGAGCTAACTCCCTTGAGGGCATAGTCTGCATCCGGTATGTACGAACGCTCTGACAAAATTCTCCCTCTTGCTTGGGGTCCTGCATCCAGGTCATTGTCATCTGACCTCCAGTCCTTGAGCCAGCATATTATCTGACCTGACGGCCGGCTTCTGCAGCCTTGAGAGCCAAAAGCCTGTTGTCTGACCCACTGGTTTGAGTTTGCTAGCCTCTGCAACCACGTGAGTCAGGAGAAGCGTCCGGCCTGCAGCCTGACCCAAGGATTTGGAATTTGCCAGCCTCCACAACTGTGTGACCTAGTTCCCTGACGGTCCATGAATTTTGTGAGACATTGCAGTGAATAATGGAACTCAAAGATGAGAAGGAGGATGCTGAGGTTAGTGAAGTTAGAGACGATGGAATGGCTCAGCAGTCTGGAAAAGTAGGACATTTGGGACATCTTTAACTTGAGTCTCATAGGAACCAGCTTGGTACCGATCTTTGTCAATTGCCCATGCAATGACCAAGGGGAGATTCTACCAAAGGGGACTCTGAGGTAACACCTGAGGCAGGAAGTTCCCAAGAGTCCAAGACTGACTGTCTCCTCAGCACCAAGTGCCTCCATCATCAAAGGCTCCCCCCACCCCCCAGCCCAGGGCGTGAGTCCCTAAGTAGCAGGGAGCCAGGGCCCTGCGGCAGCAGCAAGCTGGTAACACAGCTGGAGAGGGATCTCAGAAGAGTCATCGGGCAGTCACCTGGCACTGATTCCCTGACAAGAGGGAAAGGGAACCAACCGTCTGGTGGCAGACGGGGCACGCCTGCCAGCCTGGCCCTCTCTGGGGTTTGAATTCTGAATGCAGGCGCTGGTCCTCATGGGGGCCATTTCCAACAGTCACACGACTGGTATCCAGGCAACGGGGTGCTTGGCTCCACTCTGGGCTGGGCAGCAGGTGGTGGCGTCCTGTCTTCCGTCCTCCTGGTGCCAACCTCCCCCAGCAGGATGCACGTCTGTTCCCCGTGCACCCACAGGAATGCCAGATCCTCCCGAATCTCTTTAAGGTCCAGGAAAGGAGGCTTTGGACTTTGCCAGGTGGGGACCGAGGCGTTACCTTACCTTCCCCCCAGAAGCAGGGGACCACCACTGCTCTGCACCACGGCCCTTTGGTTAAGGGTGGGGGATCCACAGCCCGGAAACTGGTTTATCTGTCTGGAGGGGCCTGAGTTAATCGCCAGGGCATGGGCTTCAAAGGCGGGGCTAACTGAGTTGATAATGAGCTTGGTAGCCACACAAGTGGTGTTGTGGGGGTCTGGCGTCCACAGTGCCTCGGGGCCGCCCAGTCCGCTGCCCCTTGGACGAGACTGGAGGCCCCCTGGGAATACTGCTGGGGGAGGAGGTAAAATGGCTGCCTCTTTGGCTTGCCTGTAATTCTTGTCTTGATAAGGAGGCGGCTATAAAATGAAATGATACGCAACAGCAGTTCCTGATGTGTTGCCACAGACATTTTCTTGTCTTGGTCAGCTTTTGGGCTGATTCCATTTCATCCTCAAAGAGGAGGTGGAGGGGCACGGCTGGGAACTGTTTGGTCACCTATTATCCGAGTTGGGGCATAGGCACCATCGACTCCTGGCTCCTTTGCACATGTCCCTTGGGCCAGCAGCTGGGGTTTCCCAGTGTTAGCGGGCAGGACGGCCTGCATCTTAGGGCAGAAACCCACTCCACCTTTGGCCAGTGTGCAAGGAATGCGGATGTGTCGGGAACCCCTGGAGGCCTGTCCTTGCCAAAGTGTTCTGGGCTACAGGCAAGCTTCGTGCTGCTAAGCTGACTTGGAATCCAGCTTTGGAACGGCTCTGGGAGGCCGGCCCTGCAGATGGAGGGGTCAGGCTGGGACCACGGCATGCCTGTGGGGCCACGTGGGGAGGCTGGGCACGCGGCCAGGCTCGCTGCAGCCCCAGCCCCACAGCCTAGGGGCCCAGCACACCTCCTCGGCAGATACCATCTGCGCCTTGGCTCAACCTTAGGAGGGGTGGGTGGGGGTGGGACCAAGGGGGTTCTGAAGGGCTGACAGAAGCCAGTGTGACTAGCCCGCTGCCTTCTCTGGGCAGAGGTCAGGTGGGGAGCGCTCTTTGTCAACCACCAGGAAGAAGGAAGAGCAGAATTAAGACGAAGCTCGGAAGTTGCACTCAGAATTTATTTTTATTTTTCCAAAAGTTATGTGTTTGATTCACATAGAAAATCGTGAAGCCTCCGTGGCCTTTGTGAGTGGCTGCATCCACCCCAGCCCCCCCGGACGCCACGGAGCCATTCAGGAACAAATGCTTTCTTCCAGAGGCGCCAGTGCCCAGCTACACTAGCCTTCCTGCGGGGTCCAGCCCCACCCCCCTCTCCTGTTCCATCTGCGAGTTTGGACTGGCCAGCTCCCGGGGGCCGGGACACCTGCACGGGCCTGGCAGGACGCGGAGGTTCAAGGCCACTCAGATCCTGACCACCTGGGCGGCGACACACGGACTCTGCCTCTCCTCCCCAGCCACGCCCACAGGCTGCCTCCTGAGGTAGAACCGGCCAAAGGTGCCTCCCACCTGCCCTTTGGTGAGGCGCCCGGGGTTCATACAGACACAGCCGAGGACATCCTAGGGAGAGAAGGAGAGGCCTCAATTAACTGGGAAAAAGTAGTGTAATGGTGAGACCCTAAAGAGGGTCCCAGGAATGGATACGAAGGTGAGCCAGCGCCCTGTGAGCCAGAGCTCCTAACACGACAGGACCCCCAGAGTCCCCGTGGAGTCTCTGGAACTGAATGAAGAATGAGGTGATCTGGCAGAAGCAGCCTGATCCAGCTGCACACTGGTTTCCAGCGTGCACACCTTGCCTCTGGAAGCTGCCTGCCTCTGGTTCGTGCGACGGGGGTGGTCCAGGTGGAAGCCCTGCACCCGGCGCCCAGTGGTGGCCTTGGGACGGAGGAGGGGTGGTCCAGGTGGAAGCCCTGCACCCAGCGCCCAGTGGCGGCCTTGGGACGGAGGAGGGGTGAGGAGGAGGGGTGGTCCAGGTGGAAGCCCTGCACCCAGCGCCCAGTGGCGGCCTTGGGACGGAGGAGGGGTGGCTGAGACCAGAACAACCCAGGAGCTTCCTCCACGTGGAGGAATCCTCCAGGTCACAGCAGAGCGCAGGGTGAGAGCAGGCAAAGGCCTATGTGGAATGTCCCTGAGGTCACCCCAACATGGCCCTGGGGGAGGACCACTCCCTACTCGCTTCCTGGGTTCCCAAGGCTGGGCCCCCCCAGCACCGTCCTCTGCGGAGAGGGAGACGGGGCAGAGGGTAGTTCATTCAAACATTTCCCTAACGGATTGTCTTCTGGTCCCACCTACTCTCCAAAAGAAGGCCTCAGTGCTGGGCTGAAGGCCCCAGTGCCATCAGCAGAGCCATGAGGAGCGAGTGCCAGGTGACGGAGAAGGAAAAGCAGAGACCGGTTCTGCGTTCCCGAAAAGGCGGGAATGACTCCAACCCACCTTCACAAAATACCTCAGCTCTGACGGGACTATGAAGACATCTGGGGTGACGGGCAGCTGGCCGTAGGCATACAGGCTTTCATAGTCAATGGCCATGTCTTCCTGCGGAGGGTAGAGTGGGTAGTAGCTACAGAGACAGACAGACAGACAGCAGTGAGTGACTGGGGGCAGCCTCCCCAGACTCCCTCCACGTCACTTGTTTCCAACAGACTGTTCTCTGTCTGGGGAGACAGAACACAGGCTGGTCATCCATCACAGGCAGACATTGCCTGGCTGTGGCCCAATGAAGCCTCCTACAATCACACTGATTGTAGCTCTGTGACCCCCGAGTCCTCTGTTCATGGCCAGGAAATCCCCGCAGGGGAGCTCACCTCCTCTGGGTGAGGATGTGCCTGAGGATACGGCTCAGTCTGTCTGAAGGTCCAGAAGAGCTGGGGATGGGAGGGGAGCGAGAGATGCATCACCGAGCTTCGATTTGCAGCTCCTGCCTCTTGGCAGGGGACAAAGGACGTCACCCGCTAGACAGACGCTATCTGTGAAGGCACAGCTAGAGAACGCCTCCGGGGGAGTACCTGTCTGTCCCCACACGAGGGAGGTGGGCACACTGGATCGAGAAAGGGAAGAGCAGGGGTCCCTTGAAATCAACATCAAGAAAGGCCACTGGCCACACCGTCTTGGGCAAGAGGACGCAGCATGCATCACCAGGAGGCAAGCGGCAGCCAGAGACCTCTGCCTCTCAGACCTCAGCCAACACCCACACACCCTCTCGCTCAGCGTGTGACCTGCTGCAAACACGCCTTCCTTCCACGACAGGCTGGAAGGGCTGGGCTGCCGGGTCTAAAGTTTACAGATGTGAGCTACCGTGCTTCTGGTAAGGGAGCAGCTCAACCGAGGAAGTACCACACCAGGGACATGCCACCCTATGTTTAAGCCACACACCTGGGAGATGAGGGTAAGCCAGATGAACATGCATAACTCTAAGGGAAGTGCACGTCAGAAGACGTGACCCTGTGTGAACTAGGGGGACAGAAACACATCCACCTGCCCCCCCGGGCACAGGGGATGGGAAACAGCACCAAGTGGCCCCTTGATGTTCTTGGGGGAGTGAGGGGCCCGGTTTTGCTGTCGGACTGAGTGCACATCTCACCTGCTGATCTCCTCTGCCCCCATGTGGAACAGCAGGTCTGTGGACGTCAAGGCAAAGACGGCTCCGTTTATGGAGAGGCTACAGGGCTCAGACACAAACCGGACTCGCTACAATGACAAGGGGTTGACACAGACGTTTGCCCAGCCAACCTAGAACTTCCCACCATTCCACAGGCTCTCCACGGGCTGGGAGGACCACCAAAAGGGGAAGCCCGGGCAACGCAGCAAGACCAGGGTCACGTGTGCCTGTGGGAAGGACGACACAGCCGCATGCACGCCTGAGAGGGCACCGCCACTGGGCAGAGCGGGGCCGCCTGAGGAGGGTGTGGGGTACCTTCTTGTCCTCTCTGGACAGGTCCGGGTAGCTGAAAGGTGGCTGTGGGTACACAGGCTCGTGGTGCACGTCTCTCAACGAAGGGACAAACACGAGGTGGGAGCCAGAACTGTTTGTCGAAAAACAAGGGAGAAGAAAAGTGAAACAGACCAGCCGGGCAACAGCTTCGCAGTGTCCGAGGTGGTCAGAGCAGGGCTGCCTTCCAGGGGCGCTTCTGGAACTGGACTACTCTACACACTGAAGCACCCGGCTGCTAACAGAAGGTCAGTGGTTCAAACTCACCAGCTGCTCCACGGGAGAAAGATGTGAAAACCTACTTCCAAGGATTAGTCCCGCAAACCCTATGGGGCGGTCTACTCATCCGACAGTCACTGTGGGTTGGAATCGACTGAATGGCAAAGGGGTGAGCAGATGTTGCCCCCCACGGGATGCTGGGGACGGAAGGTGAGTTGTTCCAATTTACATACAACTGGCTCAAGGCTCAGCTCTCCCTAGACACACTGTCCTGCTTGGTATGGCAGAGAAGAGATGCCAACCTAGAAGGAAAGGGGTTGGCCTAAGGCCTCACAGGCAAGCGGGCACCCAGCATTCTACCCTTCACACTGCCTGGCAGAGCTTGTTCACAGGCATCACAAGTCTCCTAACACAGGACTCAGTCAAGTGAGAGCCAGGCTGGGGGTCCTTCCTGGGGAGAAACCCGGTGCTGCTCACATCAGGACGCGGCTTCAGTATTTACAAGGTCAGACCGAAGCTTCTTGGCCCAACACTGGGCCGCAGTCAGTGGGCGATGAGATCCAAACACACTCAGAGTCGGGGAACACAGACTCCCAGTTTCCCCAACACAGTGAAGTTACACTCTCGGTTTTTATTTCTTGCTGGAGGATCTGGTGCAAATGAAGGAAATTTAACAGCAACAGCAAAAGCACAGATGACGGATCCCCTTGGACAGAGGCAGAAGGAGGGTCTCTAGGGTAACAACATGAGAATGAAGAGAAAAGCCGTAACTCTAGGGGCCAACTGCTTGTCCTCCTCGGCCACACAGAAGAGGAAAGGAAAAAAAAAACCCGTTGCCTTGGTTCCCTGAGCTGTCCCCAGCAGAGTGCTCTTTATAAACCAGATAGGTGGAAAGTGCTCCTTTGGGGCCTTTTTGAAAACCCACCAATAGCCTACTTCCAGCTCCCCTCCTTGCTTCAAACGTTTCAATGTCCCCAGGCTCAGGCACCCACCCTGCCCTTCATAATGCCTCAATCATCTGAGTCCAGCCAGCGGGCCAGGGGTAACCTGACTGGGCCCGTCTGTGCTCCAGGTCTCACGCTTCGTAATAGACGCAGAGAGCTGCGGTGCAGGTGGCCACTGTCAAGGGACCCAACTGCTAGAGACGCTACAGTCAGAGAGGAAACAGCCCTCCTACTGATGGGGATACACTGGCCGTAGGGGGAGGGGTCAGGAAGAAAATTCCAACTATGTTCAGCATTGCACAATTTCCTAGAGCCTGTGGGCGGGGCCCCGGCCGCTCCCTCCAGCAGGCCCTGAACTCCGAGGGCCCCAGTGGCGCCCGGGCTCTGCCTCCTCCTGTCAGCTCAGGCTGCGCCCCACTGACCTCTCAGGAGTAAAACCCAGTCCGACCGAGGAGCGCCCATTGCTCTTTTTGGAAGGGTGGGGCCGCTCCCTGCCGCGTGGCACACACTGGCCGCAGAGGAAAGTGCCTGGTGGTGCTGGGCACTTGCCCCCAGCGTGACAATGTCTGGTTTGTCCTTTGTTTGCACCACTGCTGTCAATACCAGAGGGTGAGGAGCCAAAAAGCAGAGCCAACCTCAAACCGAAAGCACCCAGCCCGGGCTGCTTCAGCCTCCCCGAGGAGAGCAGGGTGGCGAGCTGGGACACCAGCCCTGCTCCTGATCCCCTGGGTGCTCTCCTGAGGCGCTCCAGGCTCTCTCCAGGCCTGAGGGGGTCCTTCAGGGTGCCTGCACACCCCGGGAGATGAGGTGGAAGGCGAGGTAGGAAAGGGCAGACCCAGCCCTGTCACCACTCAGCCCAGTGCTCTGACTCGAGGAGTTTGGGGTGTTCTCTGCCCTGGTCTGTAGGCCTCCTGTGCTCCTGCCGTGGGCCAAGGCAGCATTACACCATGTACCACCTCTGGCATTAGCTCTCACGGCCAAGGGTGGCAGATGATACATCTTGTTTAAAAACCACCTTTGTTACAGACTTGCTTTTAGAAACTTCGCCCCAGGAATGTTTGTTTTATGGCCTCAGCTGTAGGCAAGCAGCTCCCTCGAGAGGAAGCTCTATCACCCGCCAATTCCTTCCAAACCCGGTGCTGGAGGCGCAGCAGGGGGTGGAGGGCGTCAGCTTCCTGAATAACCTTCTATTCTGGCTTTGGGCTCTTCCTGGAAGTGACTTGTCTCCCAGATTAGAGCTGTATGTCTGCCATCACTGATGTGACCGCTCACACTTGCTTCCATTTGGCTGATGGCAGTGGTTCAGGGTCGCACCCTTGGTAAGTGTCTGACCAGTGCTTGCTCTGGTGTAACCCCAGGAAACACTAAGGAGAAGAACCTGGGCTCACCCCAGACCCCCTCTCACCCAGGAGGTGTTGCTGGGTGAGCCACCAAACACCTCTCAGACCCCCTGGGAAGAGTCCCACAGGGCTGGAGTTTACACAGAAGGGTGAGCAAAGGCAGGAAGGCAGGCGGAAAGAGCAAAGGGCGAGTGAGGGCCGATACGGCCTCTTCCTTTCAAGTATGTTTATCTCTGTGTTTTACAAAGCTGTCTCTAAACTTGGCGCCTGCGCTCAGGGAGATCAAGAGTTCCAGCTGACTTCTGTCCTCAAAGGATGGAAGGGACGGGCTACCACTACTCTGAATGCTCTCAGTGTCTAAGTGGGAACCCCTGGGAAATGTGTGAACTTAAGGTTCTGCCCACATTCTGAATCCTGACCTTCTGGTCCCTTCAATAATCGTGCGTAGACATTGCTTGAAAACATCTTCAAACGGACTTGTGAGCAGACAGCTCTGAGAAAGGAAAGGAGACACATTTAGAGAACAGATGTTTTGGCGTTTCTTCACCTGTCTAACATTTGTCTAAATGACTCCTGGGCCAGCTGCTGAGCGAGGAGCTGGAGGGGACGCAGATGAAGACGTGCCTCTGTCTTCAGGGGCTGAGTCAAGTCAGGGGCAGGAGATGTAGGGGGGCAGAATGAAGCTTCTTGAGTGTACGTTAGAGAGGCTTCCTTTCAGAGTGTTTTGAAATGTTTTCTGTGGAAGATAAAATAGCCTGAGACAAAGAATGGGACGTACCAGCTGGCAGTGCAGTGAATGACTTGGTGTGGCTTTTCCAGCCACAGTCTTTGCGGCTCCCACTGGATTACTGGGTGGGACCATGCCAATAAGGTGGGGAACTCTCACACTGGGACTGGTTAGTTCTGTCACTATGCCAGGCTTCAAATGAGCCCTCTGAGAGGCACAGGGGGGAATCTCATTGCCATCAAGACAGGAGCTGGGGGGAAGTAGAGTGTGTCCTTGGACCCGAGATCCCTGCACTGGACCTCCTTGGCAGAGATGCCTGGGAGAGACCCAGCTGAGAAACCAAAAGGCAGGAGACAAGAGTGGTAGGCTTTCTGGGATGGCTGGTGTCAGAACTGGCAAGAAGGTTGGGGGGTGGTGGCATGTTGACTTCACAGAAATAAGCCTTGGGCTGCTGAGGGCGGTTCTGTCTCCCCCTACGAGGCTGGAGGAGGTCAGAAGATGCCGCCTCCACGCCCTTTCTGCCCAGCTCCACCCTGGAGATGGCCCACAAAGGGTCATCGGTGTTCCAGGCATCAAAGGACAGCAAGATGGGAGTTATCGAGCTGAAGGAAGCAGCCTGGGGACCTACAGGAGGGCTCCTGTGTCACGTGTCATAAAGGAACACTAGGACAGATATAAGTACATGCCACTCCCGCAGCTTCCAGACAGCCTTGTATTCTGGGGCCACCAAAAAAACAAAAACAAAGACCAAACTCCCTGCTGTCGAGTTGGATCTGACTCATAGCAACCCCTCCCCTGGGTTTCCAAGGTGGTATCCCTAAAGAAGTAGATTGTCCAGTCTGCCTTCCGAGGAGTGGCTGGTGGGTTTGAACCATCAGCCTTCTGGTTAGCAGTCAAATGCCTTAGGCACTATGCCACCAGAGCCCCTATTCCAGGGCCACAAGCCCCTCAAATTCAGTATCTATAAACTTGCTCGGATGCAGTGTTTCTTTGGTTAGCCGTGGCAATTGATTCAGGTGTGTTGCAGATACAGGGAAAAAACTAAAAAGTGACAGTAACAGCAGAGCCACTTACCTCCACCTGTTCATGCTTGGCATCAAGGAAAGGCCCAAACTGCAAAGAAGGCCAAGGGGCAAACAAAGGCATCAAAGAGTGAATGGGAGCCCCTGTCTGTGAGGGCTCTCACCCCCCTCGAGCAGTCTGCGCAGGGCCCATGTTCCCGCCAAGGCTGCTTGCACAGCCGGGGACAGTTAGCAGATGGGGCCAGAGATCAGGCAGAAGGACGGGAGCCCTGGAGGGAGGGAGGCCTCAGAGTCCCACAACACGTGCTACAAGTGCCCCTACACACTGACCTCCTACGGACTTTCACACCTAGCCACGGAAACCTACCCCCTGCTAACTATCCTGCTCTGAACTCCACAAACGAGGTGAGTTCAGAAGCTGGAGCAATGAGACAGAGGCAAGAACACGGCGAGTCAATGAAAGGCTGCGAGCGAGGTCGGGCTCTTAGACTTCGTGAAGGCCTGTGGAGGACCATGCACACCTCTCCAAAGCTGCAGACTAAGAACTCGTATTTTTAAAGGGGCGGTGAGACTGATGCGCTCCCCAGAAATCGAGACTGTTAGGAGCCCCGGTTTTCTCAGGTGCCTCCCTGAGCGAGGCCGCCCCAGGAGGGTCTCCTACCAGGATGCAGACGTCAGGCCGATCGTGATTGATGATGGTGACCAGGTCCAGCAGGGGGTCATAGGTGATGCTGTCAGACGTGGTGTAGGGCCCACAGGCAACCAGAACCATTCTTTGCTCAAAATCTGAGATGGGGAGGGTTACGAGGTCCTGATCAGAAGAGGCTGATACCAGGACGGTGGGAGAAGACAGGACAAAAAGGCCACTGAACACAACTTATCGAGACCCTCCGCAGTGGAACAGCTCTGGGAATTAAAGACGAGGAGGGCCTCACTCTTGCTGAATATTCCATCAGGCAAAATATCACACTGTGTGGAGGGCTGTGTCCCTTGTGGAGGCCCCACGGAGGAAAGATTTACTGTCTTTCTGAGCCTCTCGAGGCCACCCAGGAATCCCCGGGTACAGCACACGGTGAAGCCCTAACTGAAAGGCTGGCAGTTCTAATACACCCAGAGGCACCTGAGAAGCAGGCCTGGTGAACTGCTTCCAAAGGTCCCAGCTCTGAAAACCCTACGGAGGGCACTGCTGCCCCAGAAACAAGGGATCGCCACGAGTCGGGATCCACTCAACAGTGACTAGCAACAGGCCGCCTGCCTTCCCCAGCTCCTGGCTCTATTCAAAGCCAAACACAGCTGCTTCCAACCTCCCTTTCTGACTCTGACCTGTCCCTGCCTCTCTAAGGGCCCTGATGATGGCAGGAATCCTGGTGGCACAGTGGTTAAGCACTGAGCTGCTAACCAAAAGGTCGGCAGTTTGAACCCACCAGCCGCTCTGCGGGAGAAAGTTGTGCCAGTCAGCTTCTGTAGAGATGACAGCCTTGGAAACCCTGTGGGGCAGTCCTGCTCCGTCCTAAAGGGTTGCTGTGAGTTGGAATGGACTTGACCGCAGTGAGTCTAGCTTTGGTTCTGTGATGACATTGGGCACTTCCTAATTTTATGAGCCTTTACTTTAGCACAACTGCAGAGACCCTTCTGCCAGGTGAGGTCACACAGTCACAGGGTCTGGGCAGGGAGCATCTTGTATCCCCCCACAGCAGGGAGTCCCATTCCTGAGACAGGGAACTCAAGAGACAGAGTCGGCTTCCTGTGGAGGTGAGTCTGGTTCTGAGGAGCCTGCACTAAGGGCCTTGTCTTGTGCTGTTTTCCCCAAGTCCGCAGGTTAATACCATGTAATAACATGTATGTCAACAGCCTATTAAACCTGCACGCCAGGCCTCCCTGGCACGCAACGCTGGCTCTCAGCACCTCAGTCATGGCACCAGCAGTCATTCTAACACCACCGTGCCGTCCATCCTCGCTCCAGGAACACATTTTCTGATAGGTGCAATGTCATACACCGCCTGATTTCATTCCTCATTCCAGGACCTGACCCACTGTTAATGTGGGTGGGGTGTTGACAGTACCCTCATCAGTGGTCTACTTGGCTTATAAAATGCTTGGAAATGCTTTGAAGTAGTCTTTTACTTTGGGGGGAACCTCCTCTCCACCCAGATTAGTAACTGAATCATCTTAGGCTTCCTCAGACACCCTTCCCTCTTCACACATTCTCATGAGGAGTAACCAGGCCCATAGCAGAGCTCACAGACAGCACACACAGCTCCTGTGTCTCGCACCCAGTCCCCCCGAGGTAGCAGCTCACACAAGCAGAGCTGTCATCAGCTGCCCGAGTCAGCTCTGGCTCCTGAGCGGCCCCATCACAGCCGAGTGAAGCTGTGCCCGGTCCTGGTCGGCCCCATTGTGATTCACAGGGTTTTCCAAAGGAGACGGCCAGGTCTTCCTCCCTCCTCTTAGCCTGAAAGCTGCACTGAAAGCTGCTCAGGGTCACAGCCACGCGCCAGACCCCACCGATGGACACAGGAGGTGCTGCGGGCAGGGATCGAACCCCAGTCTCCCTCCTGGAAGGAGAGAATCCACCACTTTGTCAAAACTAAGACATTCACTGGAGTGTGTTACTGTAACTGAACCCCTGACATGACGTGGGTGACACTGGCTTTTCCACTCTCGTCCTTTCCTCCTCCAGGGCCAAGACCAGACCCCACTCTGCTCGTAGAGAGATGCATTTTCATCTGCATAGGCTTTTTCCTTCTCAAAACAACATGCAAATAAATACCCATAAACTTTCGCCTTTAAATGCCACGCTCCATGCTGTCAGACCCAGGTGGCCACACTAACAACGCCCGCTAGCCTCGACCTGTGGTCTTCTGACAAGGGCCTGTGGGACCACCAGCCCGGCTGGGGCTCCACTGCTCCACCAGGCTACTCAACAGCCCGAGAGCCGCACTCCTGGACCCCTGTCCACCACCCTCCAGGCTGGCAAAACAAGTTTTGAACCAAAACTTACCTCCATCCTCTTCAGTGGGCTGATAAAAAGGAAGCGGCACACCCTTAAAAACAGAAAAGAAGCCACATTGAGGTCTGGCTCCATGCATCACCCCTGGTGAGGAGAGAGGGGTGGGCACGGGATGGGGGTGCTTGCAGGGGGGGTGGGAGGTGTGGGAGGGGAGCGATGTGGAGCGGAGAAGCAGCGTGGCCCCTGCTCCCGGCACTAACGTCCCACGGAGCTCACGGACCTGCCGTTTCTCTATGCTGCTGAGTGGCAGAGGAGCCCAGGGAGTGAGAGCCCTGCTCTGTCTGCTGCTGAGGGGACCTGACTCGCAGTAAACTGCCCACAGGGTTTCCTAGGCTGTGGTCGTCTCAGGGGCAGACTGCCGGGCCTTTCTCCCTCGGAGCTATGGCTGGGTTCAAACCGCCAAACTTATGGTTACAGCCATGTGCTTAAGCACTGCACCACCAGGGCTCCCTGAGAGGCCGCTTATAAAACACCCAGCAAGAAGAAGGAACAGAAGAGATGCCTGGAGTATCAGTGTGCATCTCCAAGGCCGGGAGGGAAGAGCGTCCACTGCTCCTCCCCTCATTCCGAAAGTCTGGAGTTAGTACCTAGAGCAAGGCTGCAGCCCATTTTGTAAATAAAGTTTTATCAGAACACAGGCGCATTATGTGAGCCATAATGGCAGAATTGAATCATTGTGACAGAGAACGTATGACCCACAAAGATTACAATATTTACTGTTTGGCCCCTTCGGAAAGTTGGCTAACCCTTGGTTGGTCCCTGTCCCACAGTGAGAAACAAACAGGCCTTACAAGGGACCGTTTCTACAACACATGCACTGTCCGTCCCGTGGTTGGGGTCAAGCTGGAGGAAAGGTGAGTACCTCGTACAGCTTGGTGGCGACAAACTTCCTTCCTGTGGTATTGATCCCTTCCATGATCACAACCTGAAAGCAGCAGGGAAACGGGACCGCTAAGGCAGGGGATAAGGGAGAGGTCTGAAGAAATCACATCACATAGTCAGAACTCCTGTGCAGCTGCTCTCTCTGTAACTGTAAAAGGGGGCATTCTTCTAGAAAACAAATAAAGGGTTCCACTGGCAATAACACGCTCTGTGTGAATGACGTCATTTCACGAAAATCCAGTGAGGTGAGAATTACCATTCCCATCTTACAGGTGAGAACACCGCGGCTTAGGGAGCGTCAATAACCTGCCCACAATCGCATGACTTGAGCGGCGCTGGAATTCAAACCTGGGCAGTTTGACCCCCGAGCCGAGGCCTGAGCACAGGCAGGCCACGAGCTGTATCCCTGCCACGGCACCCCCGGGGCGTGTGCCCCCGCGAGCAGGCCTCACTGCACCAGAGGGAAGCACAGGAGCGGCCGCCTCGCGATGAAATTCTTATTCTGAGAGTTCCGCTCCGTCACACACTCCGTCAGTGCAAACTGCATCCCCACAGCCCTAGGCTGCAACTCAAATCTCACCTGTCCAGGAAACAGAGAATATTCTTTGAGCTCAGATAAATCCACTGGGATCTGAGCGCCCGAGGAATGTTCCCGGTCTCCCTCCAGAATCACGGACTTGCTGTTCAGCTTGCCATTGCTATCACAGCCGATCTGGCCCAGCAGAGTGACGGGCTCCTACGGAAGGGAGGTGCGATGTAAGAACGGCTGTCCGTTCTTTCGGAAGGAGCTTAAAACCTCAAGTCCACAGCACGACTGCAAAACAAACCCTAAACAACAGCAAACCTTTCTGGGGCAGCATGTGACCCTGAGATGACCCAGCAACGTCACTGACTCTCAGGGTTAGAAGGATGTTAAAGGACATCAAGTCCATCCACCCCCCTGATGCCTGGGCTCCCTCCAAGTGGCTCCCTAAGCTTGACCATCTCCACTAAAATGGGATTGGTAAGATTATCCCTATTTTACAAACAAGAACACTGTGGCTTAGAGAGGTTTAGTAACCTGCCCATAATCGCAAAACTTGGGTGGAATTTAAACTGGGCAGACTGATCCCAGAGCCAAGGTCCAGAGAGCAGGCTGAATCCCTGCGACTATGGCCACCACACCTGTTAATCACAACTCAACTTTACTGAGCTTATGAAACACCACACATGCTCTGAGGCTTACGTGGGTGAGCTTTCCATGATGTCACAACAACCAAGTGGATTCAGGCAGTCCATGGGTTACCATACACACGGTTCTTATTTGGCCTTACTTTAGTGCATTGACAATGATTTGAAAGCTACACGGGCAGCAAACAACGGTGACTGTGATGAAGACTTTGCTGGTGCAGGAGATGGTTCAGCTTTTACAAAGTGAGTAATGTTACTATTACATGTAACATTAAAGGGCAGGTACAAAGTTGTCCACTTGTAACCTGGGGTCTTACTGTACTATTACTGGGTCCATTTTACAGATGAGGAGAAACGAGTAACAGAGAGGTTAGGTAATTTAGTTAAGGTCACACAGTGGGGGAAGGCTGGCTCCAGAGTCATACTACAGCCCCCTGGAGCAGGAAGTTTTGTTAAATGGAGCTGAATTCACCCAATGGCTTCCTCTCTCCTGTTCCCACTCTTGAGGCTCCACCAGGAAGTCCAACCTTCTCCTCCAGGACCATGCACCCCTGCTTTCCTTTTCCCACTGCCCCCAGCTTCCTCACATGACATGGTTTTGTATATCTTCCCCAGCTGGTCATTGTTCTCCGAATGCAAACGTATGACAGCAAGGGATCTTCCAGAACTCATCTTCCCTCTAAAGGCATTTGACTGCTAACCAGAAGGCTGGCGGTTCAAACCCACCAGCCACTCCTCAGAAGGAAGATGGGGCAATCTACTTCCATAGTGATACTGCCTCAGAAACCCAAGGAGGGGCTGCTGTGAGTCAAATCGCCTCAACAGCAGTGAGTTTGATTTCTTTTTTATTCATTTTGAGTGAAGTCCTGTTACACCTGCCAGATCAGACTGTGATGCAAAGATACCACTGGCAGCACCTGGTTCACATAACAAGAGGTCAAACTAGGGAGGGACTTTGAGGCACTGATGACATAGCAAGAGTCTGGAAATCCTTCCCGTGCTGCTGTCCTGGTATGTGGATGTTCCTATTTGTGGGGGATCCCCAGGGGGCCACCTGCCTCACCACCACCTCTATCACTAAGGGAACAAAGCCTTCTGTTTTCACTTGTGTACAAGACCCTAAGCCAAGTGCAGAAAACAACTGTCCCTGGTCACAAAACCCAAGAGTACTTCTAAGTCTTCCTTCAAAGGACCTGTTTCACCAAATCCAAACGCGACAGAGGTTCTGACTAGAATGCAGACAAGGTGAGAAAGGAAGCAGCGATGCCTGCTCATCATCGTTGACTTAAAATACATATGAATTAGCAAACACAGACTATTAATCTATGGGTAAACAGATGGGTAGACAGGCTGAGTGATCAGGTATATCTAGGCAAAAGGGAATACAGCCTTGACCGTATGTAAGTTTGGCAGATGCTACATCTACATACTTATATGTATGTGCTGTAAGAACATCCATATAAATAGAAGTGATGGTAACTTCTTAGGAACAGTCAACCACCCTGATGGAGCAAGCTGTTGGACCTGTGGACCTGGGACCATGGCTGCCAGGGACACCAAGCTTAAATGGCATAACACTACACAAAAACATTGTTCTACATCCTACTTTGGTGAGTAGTGACTGGTGTCTTAAAAGTTTGCAAGCAGCCATCTAGATGCAACAACTGGTCTCTCCTGGTACACAGCAAAAAGAATGAAGAAAACCAAACACATGGAAACAGTCCAAAGGACTAGTGGACCATGCAAACCTCAGTCTATGACCATAAGGACTAGACTGTGTCTAACTACCACTGTCAACCACTCGGAAAGGGATCAAGGGAGGAGATCCTGGATAGAGTAGGAGAACAACGTGGAACAAAACTCAACATCATAAAAAAGACCAAGCTTACTGGTCTGACAGACACTGGTGAAATGCCCTGTGACCATGGCCCCTAGTTACCCTCCAGACCTGGAATTGGAATCACTCATGTGGCTTCCAGACCAAAAAAAGATAGGCATACACTGTGAATATTTACAACACATAGAGACACACCTTAGAATGATCAATCACAGGAGACCAGAAGGGCAGTGTTTGCACAGGGCGACAGCTCAGGGGGCAGGAATGCATAGGACAGAAGGACACAGGGAAGAGGTGACTGAAAGGGGGGAAGTGGGAAGAGAGCTGTTACATCATGGGGAGTGTAGTCCATGTGCGGTGTAGTAAATTACTTAGTGTGGCTTTTCTACCCATAAATCTTTGTAAACTCCAAGGTGGGATTTTCTATGAGCAACTGAGGAGCTCCTGATTGCTGAAG